AGGTATATAAAGTCCTATCTCTATTTAGGCAGAAAGCCGAAAATGCATTTAAAGATACATAGAGTGCATAGCAATCAGGTTCTTTTATGTAGGACATTGTTAAATTTTCCAAGTCCACACATGTTATCTGAGACAGGCAGACCATGTATTGATTTATCCCGATCAACAGATGAGGTGAAGAGATGATTATTTTAAATTCAGCTATCCATCGCTGAACCACAGAATTAGAAGCTAAGTCACCCAACCATGTCTTATTTGTAGACCGCCTATTTATTGTGTGCATCCTAAAATGCAATCTAGTCAAGTCACAAAATGCATTCTCTCTTCATTTTTAAGATGAAATCAATAACCCTGACTTGACCTACTAGGCCTGGTTTTGCAAATAAATTACTCCACTCCACCCATCCTTCCTACCATATCTAAATACACATCAAATAGGTAAAAGTTTGACTAAGTGCTGCTCTTTTGCGGTGCCTCCTGGTTCCTGTGAAAGAAACTCATCCAGTAGAATTGGTGTTGCTAGTAACAAAGCAAGAGATATGTTAAAAAGCCTGGAGGTTTCTCTGGGGAGTTGCCACAGGTTTCAGTGGAATGACAATTACAAGGAACATGGATCATTGAATGCCTTCTATAGCCCTTACAATAGTGAGGATCATTATTTTAAGGTTCATTTGCATAATGGTTGGCCTAGCAAGAACAATGGTGAATGCTAATAGCTTCAGGATGCAATAAAACATTATCTGGGCTGAACTTCTAAAGGAGAAGTTGCCAAAGTATGACTCTTTAAGTACTTAATTCCATCCCAGGTCAAGTCCACACAGAATCAAATGCGGATTTCTGGTATCTCTTCACAAACTGGCAAGAAATGACTGGAAGAGAAGAGCAGCAACCTCCTCTATACAGAATCCTTACCTGGTAGGCTTTGCTTTTTTTTTCTACATAACTTGCTGCCCCCTCTGAAGTTTTCAGGATCCATTTGAAACTACCATCTTCCCTCCCCGAAACAATTTCCCACTCCCACTCTTCCCACGCCCCACATCTGACAAATACACCAAATTTGATACACCAAGAAAGAATAAATCTCACCTTATGGGATGAAAAACTTTCACTGAAACTTTGGAAGAAATGGAGTTGACAATAGCTAGCAACTGGTGGTATTTTAAAGGCAAACAGATAGGGTTGCCTCAAACTAATAACCCTGCATTCTGAGATGAAGGTTGAAGATGGCTATTAACAAAGAGAATAAAAAGAGATAGGTCATCTCCATTTCTATTTATCATTTTTAACTATTCCTGTTGCGTAGAAATTGAATAGGTATGGTCATCCTGTACTTTGTATCCCAATGCAGTCTTTAGAGATTATCTATTTTATTGACTTCTTTCTCCAAGGCGTTTGAACTCATTTTTACCACAAGAGGGCAGCCATCTCTAAAAAACAACCAAAGAGACTGGATCTTAAGTCAGAAAGAAAGCCAAAATTTAGGAAGTTGTGCTTGCGAAAGGCGTTCATTCAGCAGTCCCTCAGAAATCGCACAATCACCCATAGAGCGATCCTGTGATGGGCAATACTGAAATGGAATAGAGTGTCCAGAAATGCCAGGTTTCCCTCAGACTCGTGACTATCGAAGATTATTTCATAAACTAACAAGGTTCCCGTTTCGCAAGTTATGAAGGCCTAAAGCTGGGAGACATCCTTGATGTCATCACCAGAGATTTATTTTTCATCTTTACTTGAAGAGCTTCCAACAGCTATCAACTTTCTCCTTCTCTTTAAAAGCTACGTACTGCTTTAGGTCTCATAAGTTTTGTTTTGTTTTTTAGATCTCACTGATGACAGAAACAATTGTTAACTTCTCAATTAAACTTTAGGAAAGGAAATAGTTTCGAGAGCACAATAAACACTTAAAACTTGTGTCTATGAGTAGAATATGTTCTATTGCCAAGTTGTTCGGTGGCCAGTGATTCAGAATAACAGTCAACTTTCATAGCCCTTTATTTTCAGGGGGGAAAGAAGTTCTTGAATATTTTGCTGAACCCCAGCTCCCCATTTATTTTCCTAGTAGGTAGGCTTCCTCTGAAATACCTTATTTGACCTTTATACTTTCAGAAACAGCCAGTGCCTAATTCCCCTCTGTGGGTTGCTAATCCGATTTATGTGAGCAGAACCTGGAATTGTTTTAGCTTCCCCACTGAAAAAATAATACACATGGGTAGTAGATTGTTATGAGCTCCCGAATCAGATTTTTCCCTTTCTGCTTCGCAGACTTCAAGGTGCTGTGCAGGCAAGCTCGGTTTTGCCATCTGGCCTTTTTCAAAATTTTTTTCGCCCTTGGCTTCTGGGATCATTTGGGTGACTCCATTGAACTTTGTGTGGAGGACCCTGGAATTCCGAGAGGGAGGGGAAGCCTGGAAACTCAGAGTGCAGTGGACTTGGGGAATATTTCATCGGAGGAGCTAGCTAGACCATATGGCACAGTCTGCTGCTGGGGCCTGGTGGAAGGGGTTGGAACAGAAGGTTCTAAGGTCTCAAACCAGAATTGTCTTGTAGGCTTGGCTCACACTGTGCATTATTTTACCTTCCTCTGAACTGCTAATCACCTGCCTCAGAGCTGGGCGAGATAAATATCACAAGGCATGAAGTGATTGCTACCATAAAAAGAAATAAAATCCCTCTCATCCTCTCTTCACGCTGACACACACACACACACACACACACAGTCCATTGCACGTGTCATATATAGCAGGATGACATCCATTTCACATATACAGGCATAGTTATAAACATATGTGCTTTCATTAGCATATATTTACATGTATAGGTATATTTATAGAGACATACACACGTGTATATGTACATTACATTTATCCGAATAAAATATGCACATTTACATAAATATAAATGTACACATGTATTTACATATATACAAACATATATCTGTGTGTTAAAGTTTAAATAACACCCAGTTTTCAAACTCTAGTTTTCTTTTACAGAATTGTCTACCCCACGCCTATGCCAAGATGCCTTGTAACTTGGTTGAGTTTTGTTTTGTTTTGTTTTGAATGGTCTATTACCGAAAAACTTCAAACTGAAAGTTAAATAACGGGCCAGTTAGGGAAATAAGGGCTTAACCCCCGCATCTGTCCCGGATGGCGCCCCAGGAGCGAGAGCCAGGGTCAGGCGCCCCAGGAGATCTCCCGGGTGAGGACAGGGGCTGGAGGCGCGAGCGCCCCCGTCAGCGGCCGCGCGTCCCCGACCTTCGCTCAACACCGCCGCGTATTGCCCGGCGTGAGCGGCCACCCCCCCTGAATCAGGTCCCGTATGCTCGGGGATCCCCCGTCGAGCCGCGCATGCAAGAGGGAGGGGTTCACACTGCTCTGGTAGGG